CGAACACGTGGTTTAGAGATGGCCTTCTTCCGTATTTTTAGTGGACGCGCTTCATCTTGAACACCGGATCTTTCGTGATGATACTTGGTGCGCAACTCAGTTCTGGGAGGAACTTGTGTTTGAGTTTGAGTTGAAAATTGTGATCTTTGCTGGCGAACAAGAGGCATTGTATCTTCTTCCTCCTCTTCATCTCCACTAAGGATCTCTACTGTCATCCGATTGGGTTGCGTCATAATGACCCTTTCCCTCCTTCTCTTCGGAGCATCTTGGGGTTGAGCTGGATTAGTATGTTGAGCCCTATGAGCAACAGAAGGGTTTACATACCCTCTTTCGAAAAAAGAATCTGGGAGACCTGCTATCTCCTCTTCTGTTTCTTCAGAACTTGAGCCAGCCTCATCCTCCCTCTCAGAAGTTTCGGTCTCATCAGTCTCAAGCTCTACTTCACTATCAACTGGGCGGGCAGGTTCTTTTCCCTTTCTGGACGATTCGACAGCTTCCTTCCTTCGAGGTGATAGCACAGTGTCATAGACTACTTCGGTTGCCCGTCGGGAGGCTATCTCTTCCTCCAGTTCTGATATCCTCCTTTTCCGAGCAATAGTATTGGCAGCTATCAGCCACTTATAGTAGAGGAAAGTCATCTGTAGAGGAGGTGTCTCCAAAGGGAGATCGAATTCAACATTCGTGCAGCCAACGATGCTCCAAAACCAGGCTCTCGCCCCATCAATGAGTCCACCTCGAACCCTAAGATGACGGTTCGGGTTGCCGACGTACAGTTGATCATAGCCGAATTTATGAACGAACCAACATGGAAAGTAAGGCTTGATGTGACAGACGTCCTTCACCCTGAATATCAGATAACCTGGTCGGATGTTCATCAACCGTCTGAAGCAACCGACATTCAAAGTTGTGCGATTCTGCCTGGGTTCTTCAGCATCTAATAGAGTTGCATTGTAAGTCCTAGTGAATTGAGGGAAACAAGGAAAGAACTCCCAGCACTTGTGGACTTTGAACTGCCTGGATATACCTAGCCACTGATGTTGGACCCACTTACAACCTTTAAGAGTCTGTAGTAGAGGGAGACTTGGATCTACTGTCTCAGGAGCCTCCATTAAATCTGGTCGGTGAAGTACTAACCAAGTCATCAAATATGTGTATGGTAATTCTAGTTTCGGCACGAATATTCCAGCGGATGTTTTCTTCCCCTCTTGAGTAAATACAGAAGCCAACTGCCGCAATCCACTATGAATATCAGCTACCATGGCAGGAAGTAAGGATAACCTACGACCTGTAGCTAACTGAACAGCTGGATACAATACTTCAATCAGCATCGCATCAGAAGGTTGGTGGGGGACAACGCACCTCTTCAACCATATGGCCAAAAGGCTAGCTAATAGGGTGGTTAAATTGATTGGAACGCCGGCTTGCCACAAATAAGAACGAAATTTGGTACCGTGAGGAAAGCCGTCTTCTGAGCGGGAAGTGTAGGATTGTGCGTTAGTCTTCTCCAACAACCGGTTAATCTCATTCGGAGTTAAGGGGGATAGTCCACACACTTCTTCCGAACGGCTCTCAAGGTTCTTAAACAAATAATCTACGAATTGTTTCAAGCTGATCTGGGGAGATTTCTTCTTAGCTCTGGTCTCCATTTCGGCCATAGCTATGTGATAGTGGCATGTCAACTCCTATAAGTTGTCATAAGTCACTGCTGACCGATCCTTCATCCTATTCAGTTGACTAACAGTTGGGAAGAATTCTTGATACAGAATGTCACCTATAGGCAGCCCCGATACCATCATCATTTTATGTAGCGGCAGTCCAAGCTCCCCGTTCTTGGTAAAGAAAGTGTTGGTGTCGGGATTGTAGATCTCAAACAAAGTGAAGAAGTGATCCACACTGATCTGCAGACCGTACATGCTGGCGCGAATCAAAACGGACAACCCTAACTCTGCTAATTCTCACCCCCCAGCGATTAAATACATGCCGGGTCATTCTTGTCCACCACTTATCTCCAAAATAATGGACCCATACATAACATCTGAACTTCTTGATAGGAAATTCTTTTCCTAACACAGATGAAGTCCTCGCACAGAAGCTCTGTCACTAGAACCTGGGGTAGCCTCTTTCCTAATGAAACCACATTGGACGCGCTCGTGATTTTTGGTCAATCTCCAAAACATCTCTTGAGCAACTGCCAAGTTTCTGAACTACAAGAGTGAATGCTCCCGAGGAATCCAGGGTAAATATAAGAAGTTCAACCCACTCACGTGTAACCACTGCGCAGGTCTACAAGAAACGAATTCCGGATCTCTTATAGAGTCACCAAACAGGAAATCTGGCTTCCTTATACACTGGTTCGAGTCTTGCTCTGAAATTAAAGTCGTGTCCATGATTAACCGTTGCAGAACACGACAACTACCTCATCGTATCAACTCCATGGATCCTTCGCTGTAATCTGAGTTGAATTGGGGAGCTGACTCAACTAACGGGATTCCTTCATAGTAAGAGTGTGTGGTACTGCTTTGGCCCGTGACCTCACTAGCAGTGAAGATTATAGAAGGAAAATGCACTGACAAAGAAAAAGTACACATAAAATGTGTAAGAATAGTCCTAAACTTTTAGAGAAGGCGGTGTATCTTATTCCATAAGATGGAATCACCATCTCGTAACAGGTGTGACGAGTTTTATTTACCACACGTATAAAAGAGATATGCATTAATATGCACGAGCATTATAACGGCATATCATAACCTTTCAAAATATGTGGGATAATATGAAATCGCCCCTGTATACTCTGAAGTGTGTTTTGTCTAAGCAAAACAAACACTTTCCAGCATCGATCCTCTCAAAGGAGGATACCAGCTCTTCTCGAATGTATCTCAAAGGATAACAAACGAGGGCTTACATATAAATATGGATATATACAGATAAAATTGACAAGATGCAATGTTTAAATTGGTGAAAAGGTGAAAGGAGTGTACCCCCATATGAAACAGCAGCAGGATCAGCCCCCTTGGTGGTTTGGGCAGTCGAACAGCCTCGGGGAACTCGGGATCTTCGCGGTGACATGATACCTATCGAAATCCAACGAGAAAGTTAGGGTTTTTGGTTTAGAACCGACAAAGATATCACAAAATACACATGCATGGAATAGAATCAAAGAAAAATTGAGACTTCAACAGTTAGAGGGAGAACAAACCTAGTAGAACCCTTCAAAATCCGAGTGAAATCTCCCCAAACAAGAGCTCCACCCAAATCAGAAACAAAGAGAGGAAGAAGAGGCCGAAAACTCACCGAAAATCGCTGGAATTTCTCCCAAAAAAATCGCTGAAAATCGACGTGAAGAAAGAACCCTAAGTCGGGGTTTTATACCCCCGACTCAGCAGTTCGAGATAGTATTCACTGTCTCGGACAACGAGACAGATAACACTGTCTCGCTGAGCGAGACAGTGACGACTGTCTCGGGCAGAATTTGCCACTTGATGGTGCTTTTCACCCTAATTCAGATACTCCAATAGGTACATGAGTCTAAACTATTTTACTTACCCTCAAGAGGAAGTTTCTAGAGAATATTACTCAGAATATTCTTAAGGATAACCTGACGACCTCCCAATGGGTATATGAGGTTAAACTATTTCCCGAAAACTCAGAAAAATACATGAGTATAAACTATATTCCTATAAAGACTGATATAGTGAAAAACAATCTAGTATCAATTTGGCGACAAAAGCTGAATTCACAAGCACAAATTCCAGCTTCGATTCAAGATCTCGACGATGGTCAAGTGATAAACGTAATACCGAAAGAATCTTAGCTATTACAAAATACTGAATAGATTGAGAGATAAAGAGGTCAAGAGTTGAAGCCATCTACGGGTCCCTCTACACGATCTACTCAACCAAGCATTGAAGGGATCGTAAGTAATATCTATCTTATCCAAAGTGTCCCAGACTCCTCTATAAAAGAATGAGTCTAGAATACTTTGGAGGGAGTATCTGTAGGCGTCAAAAAAATACTGATAGATATCCAAACACAGCTCAAGACAAAGAGAAGGTCATCCAAAGATCACAAAAGACGACCTTACACTGTCTCAAAAGAATCGAGACAATGTCGACTGTCTCACATGCGAGACAGTATAGACTGTCTCACTGTGTAAGACAATATTGACTGTCTCATAGGGCGAGACAGTGTTTACTGTCTCGCACGCGAGACAGTGTTTACTCTCTCGCACGCGAGACAACTCTGAAATAATCAAAAGTCGCTAAAATAGCCGCATGACACGTGTCCATTAACTGTCAAAGAACGTGGGAAACATCATGGACGAGAATCACGTGGATAACTATCAAAATAACGGAGTTTGAAATGTTAGAAGGCAGTTACAATGGAAACCGTCGGGCAGTTTGGGTTTTCCGAGACAGTCTTTACTGTCTCGGAAGCCGGCCGCCGAGACAGACAACACTGTCTCGCCTGCAAAATTACCTCACGACGTTGTGTTTTCAATTAAGTGTCCCAGGGGCTATAAATATCCTCCTAGGGCCATTTGATCTGGGGATTCGATCAGATCAGAGCATAGAGAGCAGAATACTTGAGCCTTTTAATAATTCTTTGAGATTTAAGCTTCGACTTAATCTTGAGAAGAGTGTTCATCTTACTTTGATAAGATATTCATTGATTTTCATTCTTGCTTCTAAACGAAGGAAGAATACCAAAGACTCTCACGATCTGTGAATCGGTGGTCCACGAGCCAAAGCACTCCTGGCACAGGCAAAGTCCCGCAAAGCAGAAATCGATAAATGATTCTTGTGTTATTTTCTAAAAAGTTGTAATTTTTATTTTGTTGTAAGGGAAGTCTTATAAAAAGGCTGTTTCTTTCGAATTTGTTGTAATCGACCGAAGATATAATGAATTCCACAACAAAATCAACTTTTGATGAAAACACTGTTGTTTATTCGTCTAGTGCATGGTCTGCCACGTCTTTTTTTGGTGAGAGGAGGCGTTAACACTCACTCTTCTAACGGTACAAAGCGCTTCTCGTAATCTGGGATGGGAAAGATGATCGGTGCATAACTTGCTGAATGCATCAATAGTCATGTAGCAATCACAATATTGATAAATTTTTCGTCCCATCCATGTAATTACAACGCACGCATGTTTGCAAGGAATGCGAGTGATGTCCCAGGACCTACAAGAACAAGTTCGATTCTTCAAATCTACACGACAAGTTTTATTAGACTCGACCTCCACAATATCTTCTGTCGAATGTTTAATCGCCAAGCAACTACCATGCTGAATATTATTAGACAGCACCATCTCAGCTTCCAGGCATAAGTATCTAGACCATTTCTGACCCATTGGCCTTCTTTCATGCATGCGCTCCATTATTTGCTTCCGTATGGTCTCAACCAAAGGTAAGATTCGTAACAATCGTGCCTTTCTTATCCAGCTGTTGAAGAACTCAGCAACGTTTGAAGTAACATGGTCATACCTTAACAACAAAACACTAACATTAACAATAAAACCATAAACTAAACATTAAAGGCCTAACCTTAACAATAAATATTCTAAACTTAATAACAAAATCCTAGCATAATAATTCTAACCATAACAATAAAAATCTAACCTTAACAGAAAACTATAGGATAACTCTAACCTAAACAACTATAACGGTGCTGTAACAAAATAGCATTGAAACCAAGCTATATTACCTTATACTAGGAAAATACGTGTTTGCCCATCTCTCCGGGGAGTATTCCATTACAGTGACGTAAGCCCAGTGATCGATCGCTGCCAATTCTTTCATGTCATCATTCCATTCAGATATTGTGAACTTATAAGCCGCAGATTGTAACAGCTCGCCCAACGTAGTCGCGATATTTGCCTTGTGCCTAAAATCCTTCATCTTCTTTTTGAAATTCTTGACTAGATGCAGAACACACCTTGAATGGAATGCATCTGGAAAGAATTCCTCGACTGCTGCCCTAATACCCTTGTCGGCGTCGGAAATCATTACCAGTCGATGTGGAGGTTGGTAAGGATTTTCCCTATCATACAGTAACGTCCATAATCCTTGTAAGAACCATTTCCAGTTAACCTCATTCTCTTGGTCGCATACGCAATAAGCAAGGGGAAATATTCCCTGGTTGCCGTCATACCCAGTGGCACTAAGTAGTATGCCTCTGTAACGATCTTTAATAAATGTTCCATCCAAAAACAATAGAGGCCTACACCCAGCAATGAACCCTTCAATACATGTATTATAACTAATGAACAATCACCTGAACCTCCCGTCATCAGCATCAATAACAACACGACTCCCAGGATTAGTTTTATGCACCCTAGATTCATACCTGCATGAATATAACAACAAAGCAGTACATTTAGCAACGGAGACATAACCATACAAACTGATCTTCAAACTTCACAACCAACACATATACTTAACGATGAACCAACAACTTTAACAACTACTACGTATAGTTAGCAACCAAAACGTAAGCAGTAGATTTAGCAAAGGATTCATAACCATAACAACTGATCTTTAAACTTCACAGCCAATACGTACACTTAGAGACGAACCAATAACTTTAACAACTACTACGTATAGTTAGCAACCAAAACGTAAGCAGTAGATTTAGCAACGGATTCATAACCATAACAACTGATCTTTAAACTTCACAACCAACCCGTATACTTAACGTCGAACCAACAACTTTAACAACTACTATGTATAGTTAGCAATCAAAACGTAAGAGTGATTTCAGAAGAATAAAAAAAAGATAAGGACCATCTCAGTGAATCATAAGCCTCATCATCGTCACCAAAGAGGTCCTGTTGAGCTGTCTCGTTACCCCCACCATGCTTTACTGTAGTTAATCTTGATGCCATAATTAGAGAGTTGTCGTTCTTGATATCAACTGCACAAAGATCTGGTCTAACCTTCAAAATAGCGTGTATTTGGGTAGCAATGAACTTCCTTGATGCCCTTGAGTTGCCAGCATTTGCTCCATGTTGACCGCAGGTGTGGGTAGATTCGAAATTCTTTATGGACATGATAGACGAATTTTTGAGCGAGGAAGCAAACAACATCCAAGGGCAACCATGTGTGTGCTTGAATCGGCAATAGACTCTTATGCACCTTTGTTCATTGTGGTAAAAATCATACTCGAACCGTTTAGCAATTGAATAGTATTAAAGTACTAATCTAACTTCAGCAGCACTATCAAATTTCTGACCAACTTCACGTATGGAGGTGTGCTACTCAGTTGGGATCTTTGTTTGGTGGTTAAGCATGTCATTCAGCAGCATAATCGAGTCGCCGGTGGGGTTGTCATTAGGAATACGCTCATCATTACAGGTTTGGATGAACATGGTATCTACGCACTACGAATTTTCTGTCGGTATTGTCCTGAAGTAGTAATAAAAATACATAGCCTTAGCAACTAACTGATAACCTTAACAACGAACTCATAAACATAACAGCCAACACATATCCTTAACAACTAACCCTTATACTTAAGGACAGACTCGTGACCTTAATAACAAACGCATATACTTAATATCAAACACCTTATCATAGCAACCAACTAGTATACGTAACATCAAACAAATAACCTTAACAACCAGTCCTTAACATAACCTTGACAACCAACTCATTACCTAAGCAACCAATGCATAAGGTTAACAACTAATGGCAAAACCTATCAGTGAACTCACAAGGAAATCTGGAGTGTAATTCCTACGTAGTTTTCAGCGTAGTCTGCATGTTCTGCGAAGTTGAGGATTCCTCAGCGGAGGTAGCATACAAATTCATGTCTATAAATCCATTACGCCGACAATACTCGAACATCAAATTTAAGTCATCGTCATTGTCAATTGAAATACTGATTTTCTTTTCCCTTTCGCATATGAACTCAGTGAAAGATATTGTATTGGTATTTTAAGCCTTTCCGCCACTTGATATCTCTAGCTGATTATTTTTGTATTCTCTTTGATAACGACGAATACACCGTCACCACCTTTGTTGCTTTTTGCCTTCGTTACCACGCATAGAAGAGATCCATCTGTCATTTTATTACAGGGAGTAGTTGAAGAATTGAAGAGGCTTTTATTGAGGAGAATTAAGTGGAAGGAACAAATTAGTTGGGGTAATAGAATGGGGAGGAACTCAGTGATTTTATTACGGCTGGAAGGGGAATATATCTGGTGATAATTTTGGAGGGAAATGAGATCCCCCCCCCCCAAAAAAAAAGGCATTCTAATCACCATTTAATGCCTACAGTTGAAACGCCATGTTTCCGATGTGAGAGGGTGACGAACACAGGCTGTGAAGGGTATTTTGGGCATATCGAGAGGGGTTTAAACGGAGTTACGCCTGGGGATTCGTTTTGGGGGCTGGAAGAAAATCGCGGGCGATTTTGGGGGCAAAGCACCCGTTCAAAAAGTCTTGAGGGGGAGCACATTTTCTTGTGTTTTGGGGGCTGGAAGCATTTTCCCCAAGAAGTAATTAACAACAAGAAGCATCATTGATAACTAATAACCAACCAGCATCTCATAAATGATTGTAAATATTTTGTTAAAACCACATGATATGCTCACTCATAGCAAATCCTTGACCTTATCAACAGTTCACAAATTAATTAGTCTAATAAAAGTTCTCAACATTCATAAACTGTATGGTATATCTTCAAAATTAATCATATAATTTTGAATAAAGACACCAAGAATCAAAGGTTCCACGATGCTCCATAATAATGTACACTTAACGTCGGGCTCTACCACGCTGCAGACTAATTGATAGGACAACTAAAATAACTGCAAGATGAGAGAAACCAGACTCTAGTCTAGGAAGTGTAAGGACCATGTAAGAAGAATTTGTGAATAAATGCCTTTAAACTGCATTCAAAAAATAGCATTAGATCATTCATGACTCTAGCATGCACCACAACCTTCAAAAAAAAAAAAAAAAGCCAATCCCAAAGTGAGACAAACAGAAGTCCAGGTACCATTTTCTAAAAAATCAAGTAAGCCCACTATGAACTTTACTTATTAAGCTTTCAATTAAGCTCTAAGGTAAAACGTATAAAAAATTAACTGAATGAGACTAGTGTATTAAAATAGATCTTCGTTAAAAAAGAACTAGGTATACAATCATGCATTAACTAGAATGAAAATTACTCGAAAATAATGAATGGATGTCATAGAGAACTAAGAACTAATTAAGTAGAACCTTGATTTGACAAGAGGCCACAACCATTCAGCACCACCAAACAAAACATGAAGTACTCAAACTGATGGGGGTTGGCAAGAGGGCTTTGATCTAGAGGCGAGGAATCATCAACGACATAGAAGAAGGCTATCAAAAATGATTGCAAATATTTTGTTAAAACCACATGATATGCTCACTCATAGCAAATCCTTGACCTTATCAACAGTTCACAAATTAATTAGTCTAATAAAAGTTCTCAACATTCATAAACTGTATGGTATATCTTCAAAATTAATCATATAAATTAATTAGTCTAATAAAAGTTCTCAACATTCATAAACTGTATGGTATATCTTCAAAATTAATCATATAATTTTGAATAAAGACACCAAGAATCAAAGGTTCCACGATGCTCCATAATAATGTACACTTAACGTCGGGCTCTACCACGCTGCAGACTAATTGATAGGACAACTAAAATAACTGCAAGATGAGAGAAACCAGACTCTAGTCTAGGAAGTGTAAGGACCATGTAAGAAGAATTTGTGAATAAATGCCTTTAAACTGCATTCAAAAAATAGCATTAGATCATTCATGACTCTAGCATGCACCACAACCTTCAAAAAAAAAAAAAAAAGCCAATCCCAAAGTGAGACAAACAGAAGTCCAGGTACCATTTTCTAAAAAATCAAGTAAGCCCACTATGAACTTTACTTATTAAGCTTTCAATTAAGCTCTAAGGTAAAACGTATAAAAAATTAACTGAATGAGACTAGTGTATTAAAATAGATCTTCGTTAAAAAAGAACTAGGTATACAATCATGCATTAACTAGAATGAAAATTACTCGAAAATAATGAATGGATGTCATAGAGAACTAAGAACTAATTAAGTAGAACCTTGATTTGACAAGAGGCCACAACCATTCAGCACCACCAAACAAAACATGAAGTACTCAAACTGATGGGGGTTGGCAAGAGGGCTTTGATCTAGAGGCGAGGAATCATCAACGACATAGAAGAAGGCTATCAAAAATGATTGCAAATATTTTGTTAAAACCACATGATATGCTCACTCATAACAAATCCTTGACCTTATCAACAGTTCACAAATTAATTAGTCTAATAAAAGTTCTCAACATTCATAAACTGTATGGTATATCTTCAAAATTAATCATATATCTTCAAAATTAATCATATAAAAGTTCTCAACATTCATAAACTGTATGGGGTTAAAATCCATGACATAGAAGAATGCTATCAAGATGAACATTATATGGATATTGTTCACGGTTGAACAATAGTTTTTCTTATGTGTAGGTGTTTGACTGGTTGGATGGTGGGGATTATTTTGGTGGTCAAATGAGTGGTGGGTGATCGACAACGGTAATTGAAAGAGAATTTTAATAGGTACTAAGCATCACACCTAGATGCCTCACACCCAAGGGCTTCACACCCAAAGACACTTCATATGCCAATAAGCACATGCTCAAGATCAAACTCAAATTTTTTATTCATCAATGTCTTTTCCTCATAGAGGATTACATCTCTTATTTATAAGGAAAAAATAGCAACTAAACATTTAAGGAAGTAAATAAAAATCCTCATCAAAACCTAACAAAACTAAAAGACGTAATCAAATAAAATTCTAGCTAAAATAGAAAAAGCTTTCAAAATCAAATCCTAAAAAAAAAAGATTATAGGGTATCAAATCAAATATTAGTAAAATTAAAATTATTCTAATAGATGTTAAAATCTTTTGATGGACGATCCATGATTGTCTTGCATCAAATCTCCCATTGTTTGATAAAACTCAACTTTGAGTTTTATAATAGAAAAGCATAATGTTTGACTTGATTGGTGAGAAGAATTCTGTTGTAAATTGCAATATCTTCAAGGTGAGCTGTAAAACCTAATATTGAGTTGCTGGTGGAGGGTCTGGGATAACGAACTCAATAACTAGATTATCTTGAAATTTGCACGATTGAAGCTTAAGCGTTAGATTGACCTATTGCTTTATTTTTGGTTCCAACTCTTGTTTTAATCTTGGACTCTGGATCTATCTTTTGATTTGCTTCTTTTGGATATAGTTCAGTCTCGCACTCCGTATTGATCTTTTGATCTATATCTGATTCTGACACACACTCAGACTTGATCTTTGATTCTTGATTAAAAATTTTGATTTTGCTTTGCTTTCTTGTCTGACTCAAGTTGAGGCTTCTGATCTAGATTGAAATCAAATTTTGATTGAAGATCTACATCTAGCCGGGGTTGAGGAATTTGTGTTGGCTTTACTTTAGAATTTGAAGAGAAACAATATATTCTAGATGGTGGACTAGGGTACCTCCTTTCCAAAAGAGCATTCATAGTTTGTCCATGAACGGATGTTTGAATGATAATAGTTTCTATAACACCAATATTTTGCCTCTCTTTAGTCTACACTCAGCATATAAATACATATCCAATTCTGACTTATCATACATAGAAAATATATCTTCTATACTAAAAATCCAGACATCAAATTCATAAGACTCCTCATATCCATCAAATCCATAAAAGTAGGCTAGGGTGCCAAATTTAAGTGGATTAAATTCATGTCCTTATAAAGGAGGTAGCAATATCTTACCCTTGATAACTATGGATCCTTTGGCTCTAATACCAAATGATGGCAGTCGACGAGAGGTCTTCGATCCGGAGGCAATGAATCATCAATGACTTGGCGGAATGACGTCAAAATCCATGATGAAGAATAAGGCTACGATGATGAACAATATGCAGGTACTGTTCATGGTTGAATAGTAGCTTTTTTATATGGATGTGTTTTGACTGGTTGGATGGTGGGAATTC